GTGGGGGGAGCAGGGGGTGGGGGGATTGGAGAGCCCGGTTTGGTTTGTAGGTGCGGAAGGGCTTGGGCTGCTCCGCTCCCCTTGTTTGCCTTGGGTTTGTTTTTTTTCTTTTTTTTCTTGGCCAAGGCGGGGAAAGGCGTGGTTTGTCCCCACCCGTGGGCTTTTGGGTGGGGCTTTTTCTCTCTCTTTTTTTTTTTTTTTCCCCTTCTACATAAAGCCTCCCCCCCAAGGGGCGTCCCCGGGCCCCTGCTGCCCTCTTCCGGCACCGTCAGCTTTTTTTTACAACCCAAAGTTTGTAAACAAGAGTCACGTGCTGGCGAGGGGGTGGCGGGTCACCCCATGTGTGTGTGTCCCCTCCCGCCACCAGTATGGCCCCCGCATCCCCCAGGATGCTCGGGCGAGGATCTGGGAACAGGCAGCATCCGCCTGACAGCTCTGCCTGTATCCTGTAGGGACGCGGGTGTACAGCCCGCCGGAGTGGATCCGCTACCACCGCTACCATGGCCGTTCGGCAACGATCTGGTCCCTGGGTGTGCTGCTCTATGACATGGTCTGCGGGGATGTCCCCTTCGAACAGGATGATGACATCGTCCAGGGTCAGCTCTTCTTCCGACGGCGGGTCTCTCTAGGTGGGTACTCGGCTGCGCGGCGGGAAGGGGAGATGGCATCGGGCACACAAGCATCCGGCTTTTACGGCAATGGAGGAGGTTGATCTCCCACGGTTAGCTGGAGGAGATGGCACATGTCCTGCCGTCCTGCCCTCTTCCAAATGGGGATAATCCATTGGGAAGCTTGGGTGCACACCCAGCACGGCCTGAGCACTGCAGATGGTGGTACAAGGTGGACAGGAGCCTTCTCCAACTGACCGGCGGTTTCTGGTTTCTCTCCCCAGAGTGCCAGGATCTCATCCGGTGGTGCTTGTCCATGCGCCCCTCGGACAGGCCATCTTTGGAAGACATTTTCAACCATTCTTGGCTGCAAGACATTCACCTGCCCCAGGAGGCGGCGGAGATCCACCTGCACAGTTTGATCCAAGAGCCTAACAAGTAACACGCATCTCCTGGCCATAAGAAGCAAAGAACAACAGACTTTTTCCTCGCGACCGTAGCACTGAGCAGGGATCATCTGATGGGAACACACACGTCTTGTCCTGGAGCTGGGCTGGAGACCTGGTCCTCCAAACACTGGTGACCACCGTCCAACCCAGCTGTCCCGGACTCCATCTGAATGATCCTGTCTCATTTGATGTTTTGCCAGTAAATTTTTTTTTTACTTTTTCTTTTTTCCTTTTTTTTTTTTTTTGGGTGGGGATTTGGTTCTGTTTTTTGGAGGCTCCCAAGTATCTCTTCCTGACCTGCTGACCTCGGGACCGCGAGAGGATCAGAGACTTTATTGCAAGAGAATGTTCAACAGGGGAAAACTTACTGGGGAGGAGGGCAGGTACTGCGGCCGAATGGCTGTCTCTTCTCCGCTGTCACCGTGCTCGAGTGCCTTCAGTTGCAATCTGGGCTGTGCTGGAGGAAATACTTGAATTTTCCTACACTGCTGCTTTTCCAAGACTCGCCTGGGTATATAGTTCCTTTTCCCTTTTCAAAAAGAAAAAAGGTCAGAAGATGCTTGGGAGCCAAGCGGGCAATGCCTCACCTCCCGTGCCTCCATCTCGCGTGGATTTTCTGGGGTTCTTTGCTTCCCTGTGCCCTCACGAATGCACAAACAATGCAAACCAACAGAGCTGTAAATGTGTACAAAGTTATATAGGATCAAAGCTTGATGTACAGTTGTTAATAGTGATAACATTTTACCTTTTTTTCTTTTTTCCAGTTTTTGTTTTTAATTTATTTTCATGAATTTGTTTTTGGTTTGTTTGCTTTTTTTTAAGGAAGAGTTCTAGCCGGTAGGATAACTTATTTATTTATTTATAATTCATGTGGGTTTCCAACCCATGCCTTGCTTCTACAGCTGCTGATCCCCCCGGTTTTCCATTCGGGTCTTCCCTCCGTGTCTGTCCTGTGTCCATCCCCGGGTCCGTAGCGTTTCTGTCGGATGTCTGGCGGAGGTGCGGAGCGGCTGCCTGCTCCCCAGCTGTCTGTGTACATAGTTCTGGTTGCTGTTGTTTCCTTGCCACGTGCAATTCTCAGTTTGCAGATGAGTTTTGGTTTTTCCTCACGGGTGTCTTGTCTGGGGCTGGGGAGGGGGGAGCCGGCCCGGGCTGTCCGCGCTGTCGAGTCTTTACATGTAACCAAGTGTGTAGCCGGCGGATTTTTTGTTAATAGTTAATATTGTACAGGGGAATTCAGAAATCTTATTTTTTTTATGCGGTTTTAAATAAAAAGAAACCACTTGATGTGATGGAGACATCCCTTTATCGTGGGGTGGGATGAAGGATGCTGGGAGCATGCGGGGTACCGGTGACCACCCCGTGGCTACTGTGGGGACCGCCGGTTTGTCTCCAGCTGAGACTAATCCCCGAGGTCCCACCCAAAGGCTTGCCGAGCGGCGTTAGCCAGGACCAGCCAGCCGAAAGCACCACGGGGAAGGCTGGATCCGGCCCTCGGTGGGGTGTTTCCAGCACCGACTGCTCCTGGCAGGACTCCTGGGAGAGATCAAAGGGGTGTGGAGCCTTTTTCGTTTCCATTCATCCGCAGGCTGGTGCGGAGCATGTGCTGGGGATGGCGAGTAAACAAAGATCAAAGCAACCTTACGAAACGCCGGATGTTGTCAGCCAAATTAAATTTTGGTAAGGCAGATCCTGTTGCTCCGGCTCTGTTGGCGCGGAGTGGGTGTTGCATGCCGGGTGTCGGTGGGTGAAGAAAGCCTCCGGCGGGCTGTCCCCACCTCCAGCTCGGCTGCGGTGAACGCGGAGCGAGAGGAAGTTGATCTTCAGATTACGAGAAGTTGGTCACTATCAGTCAGCAGCGGTAACGCTTCGCTCGAGCTTTTGCCCTCCCAACTGTCAAACCTCACTTCCCAGCTCCGCAGCGCTTTGGTTTCAGGGGTGTTGGGGTTTTGTTTTTGGGGTTTTTTTTCGTTTTTTTTAAATTAATTTAATGTGGTCAGTTTTGAAGCTCTGTTCCTGCTTGACCTTGTGGAGCACCTGCTGCTGCATGCACAGGGCTGTGTGTCTGCTCCAAGGAAGGGGCACATTTCCCTTTCTGCAGGTTACTTTGCAAGGCCCCGGGATGGATCTGACACTATAGGACCATCCTTTCCTTGGCTTGCCCCAGGGCTTTCTTGCTTAAAAACCCCATGCCCACAGAGTGGTCCCTTTCTCCGGCTCACCCCGAGGCTTGCCAGCACCTCTCTCCGACCGGTGGGGCTGCTATCTGAGGGAATGTGGGGTCCTGGAGCAACGTCCCAGCCTCGTAGGGTGATCTGGTGTGCTCTGTCACCGCTGTGCCTCTGCCTTCAGCAGCAAGTGTTAACTCGGTTTGTTTGTTTTGCTTTTTTCTTTTTTTTTTTTTTTTTTCTCCTCAGCTGCATCTTTCATCTCCTCCTCGGGGCTGCTAGAAGCAGGAAGCGCAGCTCCGAACGCCTTCAAAGTTTAGGCCTATTTTGAGATGTGGTTTGTATTTAACCTCCTCTCTTGCTTTTCCTCCCAACCATCCGGGAAGCTGCTCTTACACGAAAGCAAATCTCCCCGCCACGCCGCCTGCTACCATGAGGAGCCCGTGCCCCTCGGGCGGCCACCGTCCCCCCCGGCACCACCGAAACGCTATCGTGGCCATCCCAGCTGCAGGCTGAGCTCGGCCCACCCTTCCCGTAAACGTTCGCTAACTACTGCGGTGTTTCTTAGAAAACTCGCCACAGAAAGGCCGAGCAGGTCGGGCGCGGGGCTGGGGTGCTGATAGTCATTTTGTTTCCGCCTGTTGCTGGTGATTTTTGTCCCCACCAGGCTTGTGCTGCAGGAGGGGAACGGTGCCATCGTGTTCACCTGGCAAGATGCCACTGCCCGGGTACCGTCTTGTCCTGCCGGGGTGACTGGGTGCATCCACGGTTTGGGCGTTGGAAAAAGATCGGTGACGTTTGATTCCCTGTGCACCAGCCTTTCTGTGCAGCAACACCTTCACGAGGCGGAGAGCTACCCGATTCATGTCCCAGACCTCTGCCACGAGGAAATGACCATGATAGATGTGATCGCTTCCCTCCACAACACCCATCACCGTCGCATCGTGACATGGGGACTGCACGCAGGGGCTGGAGGAAAGGAAAAGGCCTTTCCATCCCTTGTTTCTCCTTGGTGGGGGGGATGATCACTGCCCTTCGGGGCTGTCAGCTATGACAGGAGAGCACGAAGCTGCAGGAGTTACCCAGTGGGAAGCAATTTGGAGCTAGCATTGCTCTCCCACCTCCTTTCCACGACTTTTTATTGCTCCCTGGCGTCAGCAGGGAAAGCAACCACAATTCAGAAAGTGGAAAAAAATGATGAAGCAGGACCAAGATGAGATTTCAGGCCGTTGGACCTCCCTTTCTGGGAGCACTGGAGTCCCATGGATGACTGAGGACTTGCAAAGGGCCAGCACTCATCACACTTGTGGCTTCCTGTACACATCCATCCCTAGCTTAAGGTGCTTAGTGATGCAGAAAGGACTGGCCAGGGAGCCTGCAGCCACAGCAAAAGGGACGCTTATATTTTCCACATCCCTTTCTGGGAAGGGGAGATGAGCAACAGCCAAATGTCTGCCACGGCTGGAAAAACGTAGATGTGCACTGAGGAGAAAAGTCACCCAGGGGCCGGGCTCGCCGCAGGGACCTGAAGAGCAGGAGACTCGGAGGTGGCATCTCACCCCACGTCCCGTGGCGGTGTCTGAAACCCTTTGGCCCTTCTCGGCAGAGTGAGTCACAGGAGCTATTTTAAACACCTGCCTTAGGACGAAGTGAATTATCAGCAAACCAGGTGTCCCACGGCTCCAGCTCCCCAGTAATGAATCCGTGTGGAGGCTGGTCCCCGAGTGCTTTGCCGACGGCCTGTGTGGCAATAGCATTATCTCCATGGGGCATGTGGGGAAACTGAGGCACGGTGCCCCAACTCGCTGGAGATCTTTTGCGGTGGAGCTTGGGCTTGCCTGCCTTTCCCTGCCCTATCCCTCCTCGGGCTGGGACCGGCTGCAGAGGAGCTCCCAGCTTCAAATCCCTGATGTCCCCATGTCCCCTGGGCAGAGGATTTAGTCCTCCAGAAGCCGAGACTAAAGCCCTGCACCCCTTTCAGCAGGGGTTTCACCCTGGAGTGAAACATGTCCCTTCTCAGACCTCCTTCAAAAAAAAAAACCCTGTGCTGCGATGGTGAGGGGGGCCAGGTGCTGGTTTCAGGCACCTGGAGCCCTGCTCGAGACCAGAGTCTTGTGTTTTGGGGTTTACACCAACTTCCCGAGAGTGGGATCTGCGCTAACCTTGCCTCCGTGACACATCGAAACTGCATCAGTCGGCCTGAGAGTTGGTGGGGGTTTTTATGAGGAAAAAACACTTTATTCACCATAAAAAAAAACAACAAACCAACCGCAAAACCTTTCCAGTGTGTAAAGTTGAGTCAAATTTAGCAGCTTCAGCTAGAGAGACATATTTTTAAAAGGGGTAATCAGAGCATTTCTTTCATCCTTTTCCAAGCTTTTGGTCCCCTTCCTCCAGGGTAATATTTTTGTATCCTTAATCACTGTGTTCATTACAGTTAGGAGGGGGTTAAGCAACCCGAAAAATGAAACAACAGCTCCTGTTTCAAATTGAAGCAGCCACTTCAGTTAACCTGAAATGACACACAGGCACACGTGTGTGTTTGAAGGGCAAGTGGGGATCGGAGATCTCACCCCGCTGCAAAAGCTGTGAGAAAAACAGAAGCGGCAAAATGTCATTTCAGGTCAACCCCTGCCAAAATTCTACATTCTTCCCCCTCCCTGAAACAGGCAGGCAGGGCTGAGCCCCCGGCACACGCATGTGGCCTCGTAAGCCGTCGGTACCGACCCCAACGGAAACCTCTGCGCTGCCAACCGCGCAGCACGGATGTGCCACGGCAGCCGTAATCTCAGTGCCAGGCTACTACTCGTAGCGGATCGCTTGCTGTAGCATCGCTATGGGTGTATGTAGTTCCCCCCAAAACACACAGATTTGGCTCAATTTTGCCCAGGTTGGCTCTTGCCATTGCCAGCTGAGACCTGGTGGCAACCGAAGCATAGCCGTGGATGCCAAGGACCTGGATTTCAGTCCTTTCCCCCGTCCTCTGGGTTTTCTCGCCTTTTGGGGAGAAGAGCAGGGTGTGGGCAGAGCAGACACTATGGGCCACCTTCCCTTGCCAGGGCAGAGGGGTCTCTCCTGTCTCTCTAGCAGGGTGTTTCCAAAGTCTTCGATAAAGCAAATAACTGAAGCATGAGAAGATGATGTGTGAATTGGCATGGAAAAGCGGGAGGGAAAACTCCTCCAAGGAGGATCCATCCCTCAGGCTGAGCGGGAACAGCAAAGCCAACCCACCCTGCCTGGACGGAGGGGACGGCAGGCGCCCAAAGAGGCTTTGCAGGGATGCACGGATGCTGAAAGTGACTCTAGGACGGATGGACAAACTTGCGGCTTGCTCAGCTTCCCGCTGACACCAAGGGCTCCTGCTCCGACGTGGGATGGTTTCCATTTCTCAGAGTTTGCAGCCGTTTTACGGGATGAAGTGATTTGCGATAACCCTGTTTGTCGCCCTTTGTAGTCCACACGTTTTTAACTCTGGGTAGGAGTGGCATTTCCAACCTGGATGGACCAGCTCCCTTCTGGAAACTTTGCTAGTCCAACACAGCACCCCCTGACCAGGAGGGCAGTGATCTCCCTGCAGCTGCGTACCTCAAAATGCTCTATTTTCGCCAGCTCTTTGAGTTTCTTTTCTCCGCTTCAGCTTGGGGATGAGAAAAGGAACTGATCCTTCTCTCTCGGCTTTCATTCTGCTCCAGAATCGAAAGCTGGCAGAGATCCTGGGCTCACTGCTGGAGATCCTGGGCTCGCTGCCACGGACTTGGGCTCGCTCTGCCCCCCGAAACATCTCCCTGTACCTCGAAAACAGCTGATGGAGAGGCAAAGAGCAATGGCAGGTTTGGCTCAGGGCAAAGCCCCCAGGTGCCAGGCCAGGCCCTGCGGCGAGGCGCCAGCGACGAGCCTGTGCTGCCCTCTGCCGCCAGCCCTGTCCTCCCAAAACAGGCCGGTTTTGCAGAAATACGCCTGCTTTTTAATTTTTCTTCCCTTTTTTGAGTGCTCCCGACCTTCCTGCATCCTGAAAGGGTCTCCAAGCTTCTCCCCTGAGTGCTCAAGTAGGAGCCGTGATCCCGCCAAGCCGGGACCTGACCTTGAGGGGATGGTGAGGGCCCTGTGTGTCCACCCTGGCCGGGAGGCTGAGCTAGGGGTGATAATTGTCCCTTTTCTGATGTCCCCAACGCCTGAGACACCCCGAGGGACACCCAGCTCCCCTCCCGCCATTGCGCTGCCCTTTGCAAACAGAGGAAACTGAGGCGCCTCGTGAAGAACTGACTCATGTGAGGCACAGCCATGCCAGCGGCCTGACCGTGAGAGGCAGCTGCTGGTTCACCAGGGGCCATTGCACGTTTCCCCCAGGAGCGGGAGGTCCCCATGTCCCCACAGCCCAGGGACGCTGGTGACAGCAGGTCCCGTTCCGCTCTGCCCACACCTGGTGCCATTGAGGGCCGCTGGCTGCCGGTACCCCCATGGCAGGGTTTCTCCTCAGGGCACGAGAGGGATGGCAGCACCCGGGGGCTGGCAGGGTCCCATGTCACCTGGGAAGTTGTGGGGTTTTGACACCTGTGGGTTTTTTCCCAGCTTATCCCCATTTATTCAGGGGGTGACTGCTTGCACCTCATGGCTTGCCCCGTAATGGCGGCTCCCCCCTCACCCCAGTTGTTGTTATGAGGGGAGACCCTGCCACCTCGGCTGGGGGCTGGAAATAGCCCCAAATGGTCTTGAATCCTTGAGGGGACCATGACAGCCTTGGGTGCCAGCACAGCCACCTCGAGGTGCCACAGGGACCCTTCTGGGCCCTGTCACCACTTAGCGTGTGTCCCCCGCCCCGCGCATGGTTCTGTCCACCGGCTCCCCCCGCGCGGCCCTGCGGCTGGTTTAACCGGCTTCCCCCCGTCCTCTCCCGATGGTTTCGCCCAGGTGCTTGCTGGGCGTGTCGCGTGTGTGTCCCCGCTCCCGCAGCGTGAATGGTCTCTCCCCTTCCTCAAGGCGGTGTTTAGCCTTAC